CAGCCGAGCTGATTTCCCGCCCCACCTCGGTCACGGGAAAAGGCGGCGCTGCGGGCTGGCGACGTGTTAGCTCCTCACGGCCTCCCCTCTCACACGGCGCCGCAGACCCCAGCCGGGATGGAGCTCGGTTTAACGCCCGCCTGCCCGGACAGGGGCCTTTTGCGCCCGCCATTTCACCCTCCCGCCTGGTTTTTAGTCAGCGCTCCCGGCTCGCCGCGTCCCTCGGCCGGAGGCTGCGGCGCAGGGGAGGCACCTGCCAAGAGACAAATCCGTAGCCAAACGCTGGTCGTCTCCAGCGCTCACGCTCGAGCGAGGTGTTGTGTGTCGGTACCTCGGCGGGTTTGTTACGCAGAAACATCCTACCGCGGCCGTGGGACGCAAGCAAGTCGGAGAAAAGACGGATTTTACAAATTTCGCCTTACCGCGTTTATTCTTGCGACCACCCTTTGAAAGGCAAGGGGTTCCCCTGCAGAACGACATCGGCAATTTACAGAGAAGCGTTTTACATCTCGCCAAGGATGACGGGGACTTTTCAAATTTCAGCATTTTAAGAGTTTCTACGCAGAACAACAACTGCAAAGTCAAAAGCTAGAGCCTATACTTTAAAAGCTTTAGAACACCAACCGAGATTTAGTTTTCACAATGTATATTTTAAAGGTTACCTTTAAATGTTACCCAAAAGCACACTGAGAATAGTTACAAGATTTAGCAATCCACGAATCTCAAAATCTATAATCTAGTAAAAATACGGAGCCTGTGCCTTGAGTCATTAACAATGAATAAATATATTTAAATATAGCTGCAACATACCAAATACTTATCTCACACCTTAAATAAAAAAAAAGATGTTTATAGACCTTTTGATATTTTAGGAATCATTTAGTGCTAGTGGAAGCTTCTAAATTACAAGGCTGGAGATTGACAAATATACAGAATAGAAAATGACATAGTAAAACATTCACGACATATCTTGTAGACGTGGCCTCTCTTCTGTCCTGGCTGAGGCTCAGACAGGTTTAGACTTTGTCAGTTTGGGCAATGGCAGCAAAAGAAATCACCAATTGTATGAGTGAGTTAACACTCAAGGGGAAGATAAAGGGATCATACTCTACTACATCCCCTAAGAGCTGGAATAGGGCAGTGTCGATCAAAAACAAACAGACCTTGATACCCACTACCCCCGTGCGCGCAATCATTTAGACTGACAGCCTCAAGACAGGGTACCATACACAAGACAGATACAGGGTAATCCTCTAATAACATATGTTTTTTGGTTTTTTGTTTTTTTCCAAGAACGCCTCGATAGGAGGTTTATAGCTGCAGTACACAGGCCACCACCAGGACATAGATTTCAATCATCTTCCCACTACTCCTTGGGTTTTACCACGTAGTCCCGCAACATTGAATACAGCACACCTAGAAGACAGAAACACAAGCAAAATTAGAAATCTTTGTTCCATATAAAGGCTGGGTTTCAAAAAACTCCCCATGGGTAAACAGTAAGAACTGAGATTCTGAGCAAGAGAAATTCACATTTCCCTTGTTCTTCTGTTGTCTGTATTTTTAATAGCCAGGAAGAACACTTCAAAAATCCCTCATCTACAGAGAAACTTTTCCTATTCTAGCGGAAGGCAGATGACCAGCAAACTCCAGTTTGCTGTGCTGCCAAAGTCAAGTTTTTCTGTTGTACCTTCTGGGAATATACATAGGCAAACACTGTTTCATAGGATATGCAGTTTACACAGGTATGCTGCCGAAATACTCAGGTGAGACCTGGGATGCACTGAATACATTCAGGAATACAGTTCCGGCCCTGAAAATACCACTGTCTACACAAGCTGCTTTCCAAAGCAATAAATTCAGCAACAGCAATTTTTCCATTTCCAATAGAAAAATACTGACATCAGTCTTTATGCCTCTAATTTCAACACTTTAACAGTAATTTAAACGTGGGCTACTCTCACGCAAAATTCCCTCCTGTTTCAAAGCATTTCTTTCACTTTCAGCACTTTCACATTTATATGCTTGCAGAAAAATATTATCTGTGAAACACTGAATCACTGTAAGGTTTGTATATTGGTCCCACTAGCTCTTCATTTTTCTCTGCTGTTAGTAGCTGTGACCTCCCTCCAGTTCACCCACCTTTCCTATTCCAAGTAAAATTATATTTTATACTTAGATTTTTTTCAAATGTTTAAGGAGATGACGAACCTCACATACTCGCCATGTCTAAAAGTAGCCAAAACTGGTACTCTTAGAGTGCAGTTTAATATTGGAACACGTGTTCTTAAGCACTGTGTTACTCTAGAAAGGCTGAGCAAACAATCAGCCAAAAACCAAGTGTTCATAAACAGCACTGGCTGTAAACACGTGTAAATATAATAACCTGAACGCTTCCACCCAAAGGGTACTTAATGCACGCTGGTGTTATCTGCTAGACCAGAGAAGGGATTTGAGAGGGGCTCCATGGTTCAGTTTGCCAGTGCTGAAGAGCAGCCTCCTGTTTTGTACGTACCACACGTTATTGCTCCCACTACGAAGCCCTGCGCTGCCACTCGCATGTGAATCAGGTGAAGCGACATTTTCATGTCACCTCGGTGCTTCAGCTTGTATAGCCCGTAGCCCACCACCATGGCAAAGCCAGCCATTCCTGCAAAGCAAAGAAAGCATCCTTATGAGCAAAGGACAAAGTTGGCAAGATACGAAAAGTGATCTACTTACATAAGAAAGCCTGGGAATAAGCACGTGTTTGTGTAATCGCTGTGCTCGTTTAGAGGACGAATCCCAGGCCTTCCTACTGTTTTCACTCTAGTGCCATCTCATTTAATGCACGAGTCAGTGCAGAGAACAGTGACAGATTTCCATTCAGGAACCATATCAGAATGAAAAGACAGTAAGTCATGGGACATCCTCAGAGTATCAGAGTCTGATATTTTTCAGAAAGCACAAGTACTATTGGCACCCTCTTTCTTGGGAGAAAGCTCACATCCAACAGGAACACTCAGCTTCAGCTCTGATATCCAGCGCTACTGGCACGTGGATGCACCTCGACGTAGCCACCCACTCGCTGAAGTCGCTGTTTTGGGTGTTGTCACAATTGACCTGCTTTCACTGAAACAGGACAAGCCATACGCTATTTGCCCTGCGCTGCCAGGAGACAGGTTCAGGAAGATCTTTCATGGGCAGTACCTCTCATTTCTACAGACCAAGTAGACCCAACACAGGCCAGACTGTGCAAACTCCAGCCTATGTATGTCAATGCTCTCGCAGAATACAGAACAAGCACTGTACAGGGTTTCCCAATTCCGGCCACTTTATTCCATATTGAAGACGCTTATTTATGCGGTTCAAAGGAGGCTGCCAAGTGTTAAGTGTTGTGTATATTTTACTGCTGAGTGCCTAGACAACTTGGCTCCCTCAATAGGATTATTACCAGTTGCTTTTGAGAAGCTCTAAAACCTTTAAAAAAAAGGTAGACTTTGGGGGCCTGTAAACCGGCTCTGACATAGGTTTAAAGTAAATTTTGCTAATCTATTTAGAAAAACCTGAACTCACATGAAAAGTCCATAGCATGCTCTAGTGAGCTGGGGAGCAAAGTCCTGTGGCCATCGAAACCGGTGACATTTATGTTGGCAAAAGCTTAGAACGCTTCACCCGAGGGACCTGCCTGCTCTCCATTTAAGGCGGCTATAAATCGAAACCTGCCTCCTGCAGGTTACATGGATAAGAGGCACTTCCTGATCAGAGAGATGTTCTCAGGGCCCGTACAGCTGACCTCTCCTTGGAAGCTAGATGGGCTTTTTCAGGGTCTCAGCAGAGAGACCTCCTCAAGTTGGGGTACCCCAAAACCTAATAAGAAAACGCATTTTAGACTAAAGGATGGCAGCAGAGAAAGGTCAGATCTTCTCCAGGCGGACTGTATTTCAGACACTTTTGTTTTGTACTTTGTTAGTTTGAAAGCCGCTTCCTAGCGATCACACAGTTCCCAGTAACCACTCTGAAACAGGCAAGATACACTCCTTACTACATCTAGGATCTGTTACTGACCTAAACAGTTTTTTAGGATTTTGCTTTTACTGTAGGTCCTGTATTTGCTATTTAAGGTAACAGGACATTTACTAATTACACTGTTTTTGGTAGAATAACAAAAGCATGTTCTCTGTATTGCTGTATTTGCAGTAACAAATACATGTTCTCTATATTGCCGTTACCAGAGAACAACCCTGGATGAGGAAGTCATTTCAAAGTAATTTCCTGTTCACAGTATGTGACTGTGTTTGCCGTATTGCTTGCTCACGAGAAGAAAAATATGTGTAACCATGTTTCTTCATATTTAAACTTACCAATGGGTACAAACGGGGTCTCTTTAAATTTTCTTAACAGCTTCGATGTCTGGCTGCTTTCAGTCTCATACTCAGAAAAAACAGATTCCTGACCGGACGACATGACGGTGGCTGCAAAGAGAAAGAGTCTTTCTTCAGATTTGAGAAATACCAAGTTAGGAGAGTTTTTTTAAAAAGAGACAATCTCTTGCCTATTCCACAGGTCACAAAGCTCCATGCAGCAAAGTACAAACACAAGAGCTCACAAGACTTCACTTCAGCTCATGAGCTACATACAGTTTAAGTCAAGTTACATCTTGGGAAGCAAGATTGTTGCATATTAGAACAGGTAATGATAGCAAAAAGAAGCAGTGAAGTAACAAGTTTCTGCCATCCCTTTTTACACCGTTACAAATCACAGGGCCCCCACGCAAACTCACAGGCAGCTACAAGCCTCCGAAAGCCTAAGTCACCGGCTGCGTTTCCTTTCAGCGCTTCCAACCTCCAACTCACCCTTTTGCTTTCTGCAGACTATTCCTTAATAGCTGCTGTGACCTCAGGAAAGTTCATTCCTCCCCTTTCACTCCGTGCCAAGGACGGCAACTGAAGCACTTTGGATGGAAAGCAAAAAGCCGCTATGGAAGGTCAGCCCTGCATTTGGCAGCTATTCAGTCACTACTACTGCTTATCCCACTTCGTTCAGCACTTCAACATCATTTCAAACGCCTGCTGGATAACAGAGAGTGCAAAACGGGAGTAAGTCTTTAAGATCTCGGTAGACAACTCGTGCGGGGATATATTCAGCATCACGAGGACGAGCACAGCTCCACAGCTGCGCCGAACTTCTCCTCTACCCAGGTCTCAGATGAAAAAAGCAGCGACCATACTGAGAAGGACTCTGCTCAGCACAGTCACCTAACCAGTGAAGGTATCAACCAAAACTTGCCGGTTTTTAGTGCGGTCCCTGTCACAGATTACGCCAAGACCTGCTCCTTCTTCACTCTCTAGCACAAGCATCATTCTTCAATTAGCGACTAGTGACGATAACGCAATTAGCTCAGCAGCCCCATGAAGCTTTCTGCTAGCAAGATTTCTGTTCTAGTTCTGGTTCTGCCATCAACACGCTTAGCACTAAAATACCTCGCAAATAAGTACGCCACAGTCTTCAAACAAGTTGCTACCTGGAATTTAATTTAAACATTTGTTGGTAAACTTGCACACACACACACAAAAAAAAAAAATCGCGAGTGTGGCCGTGTTGTACGTTCAAACAGCATTTTGTGCACACTCATTTCAACAGACCGACTGATTTTTAAAATTAATAACTACACAGATGACTGCTTCCACCACAAGGAAAAGGATTTGGCCTCTCTGGGCCTACTACAGCTTCCTGCAATTGCAAATATAAGTTATAATTTAGGCTGACTCATTAGGAGAAGGAAAGATGACAGCACTCCTATCACTCTGGAGAGGTGGAGACAGCCAGAGGTAAGGTTTCAAACAAGAAAAGGAGAACAAAAAGTCAATCAATCCATCCAGTTCAAGAGGTGCCCGTGACCTTCAGCTCACGCAGAGGTCGGGCAGGTTTTGGGGGCGAGCGAAGCAGGAGGATGCGCGTGTCCCTGCTAACTCTGACCTTGCCTGACACCTGTGACTTTTCCTAGGCAGTGGGGAGGCCCCAACCATGTGGGCCTTGCCCCAAAACCTGCCCCCCAGGGCCCCCAAACTGTGAGAGGCCCTGACCCTAAATCTGCCATGGGGTCTCCAAACCTTCAGGGGTTCCTGACCCTAAACCTGCCCCACGGGGCCCCCAAACTGTGAGAGGCCCTGACCCTAAATCTGCCATGGGGTCTCCAAACCTTCAGGGGTTCCTGACCCTAAACCTGCCCCCCAGGGCCCCCAAACTGTAAGAGGCCCTGACCCTAAATCTGCCATGGGGTCTCCAAACCTTCAGGGGTCCCTGCCCCTAAACCTGCCCCACGGGGCCCCCAAACTGTGAGAGGCCCTGACCCTAAATCTGCCATGGGGTCTCCAAACCTTCAGGGGTTCCTGACCCTAAACCTGCCCCACGGGGCCCCCAAAATGTGAGAGGCCCTGACCCTAAATCTGCCATGGGGTCTCCAAACCTTCAGGGGTTCCTGACCCTAAACCTGCCCCACGGGGCCCCCAAACTGTGAGAGGCCCTGACCCTAAATCTGCCATGGGGTCTCCAAACCTTCAGGGGTTCCTGACCCTAAACCTGCCCCACGGGGCCCCCAAACTGTGAGAGGCCCTGACCCTAAATCTGCCATGGGGTCTCCAAACCTTCAGGGGTTCCTGACCCTAAACCTGCCCCACGGGGCCCCCAAACTGTGAGAGGCCCTGACCCTAAATCTGCCATGGGGTCTCCAAACCTTCAGGGGTTCCTGACCCTAAACCTGCCCCACGGGGCCCCCAAACTGTGAGAGGCCCTGACCCTAAATCTGCCATGGGGTCTCCAAACCTTCAGGGGTTCCTGACCCTAAACCTGCCCCACGGGGCCCCCAAACTGTGAGAGGCCCTGACCCTAAATCTGCCATGGGGTCTCCAAACCTTCAGGGGTTCCTGACCCTAAACCTGCCCCACGGGGCCCCCAAACTGTGAGAGGCCCTGACCCTAAATCTGCCATGGGGTCTCCAAACCTTCAGGGGTTCCTGACCCTAAACCTGCCCCACGGGGCCCCCAAACTGTGAGAGGCCCTGACCCTAAATCTGCCATGGGGTCTCCAAACCTTCAGGGGTTCCTGACCCTAAACCTGCCCCACGGGGCCCCCAAACTGTGAGAGGCCCTGACCCTAAATCTGCCATGGGGTCTCCAAACCTTCAGGGGTTCCTGACCCTAAACCTGCCCCACGGGGCCCCCAAACTGTGAGAGGCCCTGACCCTAAATCTGCCATGGGGTCTCCAAACCTTCAGGGGTTCCTGACCCTAAACCTGCCCCACGGGGCCCCCAAACTGTGAGAGGCCCTGACCCTAAATCTGCCATGGGGTCTCCAAACCTTCAGGGGTTCCTGACCCTAAACCTGCCCCACGGGGCCCCCAAACTGTGAGAGGCCCTGACCCTAAATCTGCCATGGGGTCTCCAAACCTTCAGGGGTTCCTGACCCTAAACCTGCCCCACGGGGCCCCCAAACTGTGAGAGGCCCTGACCCTAAATCTGCCATGGGGTCTCCAAACCTTCAGGGGTTCCTGACCCTAAACCTGCCCCACGGGGCCCCCAAACTGTGAGAGGCCCTGACCCTAAATCTGCCATGGGGTCTCCAAACCTTCAGGGGTTCCTGACCCTAAACCTGCCCCACGGGGCCCCCAAACTGTGAGAGGCCCTGACCCTAAATCTGCCATGGGGTCTCCAAACCTTCAGGGGTTCCTGACCCTAAACCTGCCCCACGGGGCCCCCAAACTGTGAGAGGCCCTGACCCTAAATCTGCCATGGGGTCTCCAAACCTTCAGGGGTTCCTGACCCTAAACCTGCCCCACGGGGCCCCCAAACTGTGAGAGGCCCTGACCCTAAATCTGCCATGGGGTCTCCAAACCTTCAGGGGTTCCTGACCCTAAACCTGCCCCACGGGGCCCCCAAACTGTGAGAGGCCCTGACCCTAAATCTGCCATGGGGTCTCCAAACCTTCAGGGGTTCCTGACCCTAAACCTGCCCCACGGGGCCCCCAAACTGTGAGAGGCCCTGACCCTAAATCTGCCATGGGGTCTCCAAACCTTCAGGGGTTCCTGACCCTAAACCTGCCCCACGGGGCCCCCAAACTGTGAGAGGCCCTGACCCTAAATCTGCCATGGGGTCTCCAAACCTTCAGGGGTTCCTGACCCTAAACCTGCCCCACGGGGCCCCCAAACTGTGAGAGGCCCTGACCCTAAATCTGCCATGGGGTCTCCAAACCTTCAGGGGTTCCTGACCCTAAACCTGCCCCACGGGGCCCCCAAACTGTGAGAGGCCCTGACCCTAAATCTGCCATGGGGTCTCCAAACCTTCAGGGGTTCCTGACCCTAAACCTGCCCCACGGGGGGGGGGAGGATCCTGCCCCTCGGCAGCCCTACTGCAGGGCCCCTGCAGCATCTGCCGCCCCACGGACCCGCAAACCACCCCAGCCCCACAGGCGCCCCCCTGCCGAGCGGGTATCGTACCCCCGCCCTGCCCGTATTGATCCAATACCCGGTCGCTTTTTATTCAGATGCCGCATCCTGGCCTTACTCCTGAGCCTGAGGAAGGGGCTGCGTCCAAGGGGGGCTTAAAGCCTGACGGCAAGCTGCGAAAACCAACTCGTGACGCTAACAGGTACCGTTCGCGTCCTCGTGGACGCGGCCAGACGCGTTATCCTCGACGATTCGGTGAGGAAACCCTCTGCGCCCCGCAGGCAGAGGACGGCGTGGCCGGGGGCGGCGGGGTTCAGCGGTTCTGCCGTGACCCAGGGAAACGGGGCCGGCCGGCCGCGTCGCTCCGGATCCTTGGCGTTCGACGCGTCTTCAGCACGGAGCTGACGAGGTGAAAGACGGAAAGAGAAGGAGCCTTTGGAAGGTACCCAGAAATACCTGGTCTTTCAGCATTAGCCCTACCCCAGGGAGGAAAGTGGATTTGAGCCGGTCCAGAAGTTTTATACCCCTTTAAGGAAAAAAAGGAGCCTTTATGCTGGGGATGCTTGGGTTTGCCTGTTTGTTTTCACAAGCTCGTCCTCTTGGAAAACCTGAAGGTGCAGAGCGTGTGAACTGCACCCATCAAAGAGCTGAGGGACCAGCAGCCCCATGCTGACCGTCCCCAGGGACTGGTGCTCATCTGCTCGCTCCTCTGGGCCCAGAAACACCCGGCACCGTCATTTGTTAAACTCTTACAAGAGCCTGTCTTCGTGGCTCTCGCATGTCCAAAGTGGTCACAGGGGAATTGACTGGAAGTGTTTATACAGCTGGAACTGCTTAACAAGCAGCTTGATCCAATCGTGTCTTTTCCAAAATTAAATATGTTTCCATATATATCTCCATCTCTCCAGAGCACGGCAGGAAACAGTTGCTCTTTGGGGACCACTTCTATGTTTGTCTCTTTTTGCTTGTTGCTGGGTTTTTTTTCTCTTTTCAGCTGGAACTGTGGCTGCCTTCTTAACAATTTTCATAAGCAAAGGTGCAATGTGCCTTCTGCTCGGGACCCAGTGGTAAAGGTGAGTCAGCCTCTGCTGCGGGCGACTTGGCTCTTTGGGCAAAACAGTTGCTGGCGAGTGATGCAAGGATGTTGTTTCTAGAGGTGTCACAGGAGTGTTGATATGCTTGTGTGTAAACAGGTCACTGAAAAGCTGAGAGTTAAACCTGAGGGGGTATTGGAGGGGTGTGTTGTTTCCTCCTGAGGGCTCGTGATCCATTTTGATCCTTTTGGGAGGAGCAGGAACTGAGACGAGGAGGAACTGGGAGAGTAACAGCTGAGGATAGCTTGCCATATTCGTATTTATGTTCATTTAAAACTCTCCTCTGCAGCATTTGTAACCCAGGGTCTCAGACGTATCTGTTTCCGTGGGGGTTTCCAAAGGGTATGCACTGCCTTTTTATGTTAGCGTTACCCTCCCAGAGCATAAATCACACCCAGACTCAGGAACCCAGTGAAACTACTGAGTAAAAGTTGCTTTCCTTTTTTAAGCTTTTCTAGGAAAAAACAAACCAACAAGCAAGCAAGCTGAAAGCCTCCGGAGACCACATAAGTCCCTAGAGCAGGATTTCGAGATTTTTTTCATCCCCTGATAGCAGCAAGGTGTGGGACCCAGGACATTATTTGAAAACGTGACAGCGACTGAAATCAAACCTGAATTGGCCCAGTTGTTTCTGTTGTCGGGGGAAACTTGTCAGCATGAAACAGCAGGGAGAGGTTCTTTTTTTGGAAAGTCTTGTCCTGTTTCTGCAGCTTTCCAGTTGCTCTGTTTGACCGCCACATCTTTGAGCGGTGCCTGTGGATGCAGAGAGCACCTGGTAATGGAGAGCTGCTGCTTCTGCAGCATGCAGAGTCGCTTCTTAGGAGACATGCAGGTTTTTCTTCAAAACGAACAGCGATCTGCAGCATGCATTCAAGACAGTAGCTCCAATAACCTTTGTTAGTACCACAATATCTCTTTAAATGTGCTTGCCATTACCAATAATCTGGTTACTGTAATTGCGAAAGCCATTAAGGCTCTATGGAGTATGAAAGGAAAAAAATCTATGCAATTATCAGCTCCCAAATTGAGTTAAAATCTTATAATAAATTACAGCGAAGGCTACTTTCTACCATGATTATCAGAGCTGCATTTAATTCTCTGCAGCTCCAAGCTATATGTGCTTCAGGGGAGAAACTCAATTAAAAAAAGACCTCTTTCATTTTAATTGCTAGACTAATGAAATTGCCCTCACCTGTAGCATCCCCATGTGCATGTCTAGATCTTCTGATTTGTGCCCAGGTTCTGTTCTCTGCTTGTGTCATCCATGTGTACTTACACTTTTGAATGAATACATATGGATGATATAGACATAAGTGGAGAACATGTGCACACATGTGCACATGCATCCCACCCACGATGGTGAATAAGGAAATTGGTGCAAATCACACTTTTCTTTCTTGGAAAAAAACAGTTACAATAGTCCTGCGAAATAGTTACACTAAGGCAGCTACATCGGGCAAAGGGCAGGTTACAGGCGGCGATGTGGACCAGAGGTGCTTTCAGCTCCCAATGCGGCAGGGCCCTGAGGCTGGCTGGATCTGATTTCCTATCTTATAAGGGCAATTTTTGGCTCATAAAGTCGAGCCCCTGAAGTTACTAGAGGGAACGACCTTGTGTCATACATCAGGGTGTATCCTCTTGCAGCCCTGGCCCTGCTAGGCAATAAGAACAAGGAAATAAAGGCGAGGGCGAATGCTTCCTGCGCTGGAGCCACCGTGGTACTTTATGCTGGGTGTGGCCCCATAATACAGTCCTGCTATTGCTAGTAACAGGCCATAAGCTTTGTACTGAATTTGCAAGGCCTCAGGACTGAGGCTTGTCAGACCTGCTCTGTCCTGACCTGCCTGCAGCTTAGTTTTACTTGGCTTAGCTGTGCCAGCAATCTCTCTGCCTGACCGGGTGTCCGTGGCTAATTTGTTTTACTTTTGTACAACCACCGTTTGATACCGATAGCAGTGGCAAGCAGTTATCCTGTGTAGAATGAGGTATTTATGAGTAATGCAATGATTTAGGGTAGAGAAGTACAAGCCTGGTACAGGAGCAGAGGCATGGAGAAGTGGAGACACAAGACGTGGCGTAGAGGAGCACAGGCACAGGGTGATCAGAGGCTGGGCACCGGCTGGCACTGGAGACCCCACGGCTATAGACACCTCATTAGTGGTCAGTTAAAGAAATGCAGACCTGGAGCTGGACAAAACTGTTTGAAGGGGTAACAAAGAGAACAAAGAAGTAATATCTAACAAATGTTACAGCCTCCATAAATAGTAAATTTTGATGTAACCTGGAGCTGTAGACCAATGAAGAAAAAGCAAGGCGTAGAAGCGTGTTAGCAAACACACAAAAATGACCCCAAGTAGCTCCCGGAGAAAGGAAGAAGAAACCATCAATGTGAACATCATTCCTCCCAGTGAAGGACTCCAGATGCCAACATCTTACCATAACAACCCCAACACCAGAGTGAAACCACCGACCTCAGGACCCAGAGGAGCACCGTAAGGGTGAGTGTAACAGCAGGAAAGGGTAGAAATTAAGAAGTGTGCATATAACAATATTAACTGTATTATTATTATTACTGAAGCATTTCCTACATAGACTTTTTTTTTCTATAATAATTACATCTAGTCTAGTAATGATGCTTGGATTAGACTGTTAAGATGATTTCGGTTATACTAACAATAAATTCTTGGCTTTGTATGTAAGGTGTGCTTCCCCTTTGCCCATTAACATGATTTTGAGCATAACATGAATTCAACATGGCCAGAATTTCAGCCCGTTTCCTAACCTGTGTTGCAGTGGGGTGGGTGGACCCTTTGGGTCTCCAGCTGGCTCATGTTTGGCACTCGCGTTCCTGATGCTGGCCGTGGCACAGACAGTGCACGGGCACAGCAGATACCTGGATGTGGGAAGCTGTGGATTTAGATGAAGCTGAGGGAGAGTTGCGAATGGTCGGCGAGGATTTAACAAGTCACTGTGAGGCACAGCCCATGGATCTCTGTGAGAGGAAGGTCGAGGAGAATTCTGCCAAACTATGAACACAGACAGCGTTGGTGGGATGCTAGGAAAAAGCTTTGCATATCTGCGATAAGCAAACAGGGAAACAAGCTGGCAATGCGTGAATTTACTTTAAGGCTGTTAACAGCAGGTGAGCATCAGCCTGCCATGGTCTAGGTGCCCCTGGCACCTGGGCTTTGGTGGATGGCCTTGTGGGGTCCCTTTATCTCTGTGATTGCCTTGGTGAGCTCCTACACCTGTAAAGATGTGCTGAGATGACACCTAGCACCTGAACTTCCTGTCCTGCAGCGCTTGTAACCTCGGGGCTCCTTTTCCCTGGTTAGCCCATCTCTCAGCCTTTGGGTTGAGGTTTGCCCAGCACTTATGCAGCACATCTGCCATGGTGACGGAGCCTCATCGAAGCAGAGGTCCAGCCACCCCAGCTCGGCATCACAGCCACTGTGAGACCCAGGATGCAAGGAGCCTTGAGTCCTCCCAAAGCCCACGAGGTGCTGGGACGTCGGGCCAGCAGCCTGCTCCAGATCTGGACACCGGACGTGGAGTGACTGTGGCAGAAGCTAAATCCACCCCTAGGTGTGATAAACTTGTGTTCATCAAACTAGATTTCTAAAAGGGCAAGAGTCAAAGATTAGCCAATGTAATCCAAGGGCTGGGACTTCCTCCTTGGAGTCAGTCAGCGCGTTTGCTTCCCAGATTGGACTCGCCTTTCCCTTGCTTGTGATATACCTCAATATCAACCTTGTATTTCAGCTGAAAGTCCAATTTTCGAAAGAGGTGGAGCTGGCTGTTTAATTTTCTTCACATATGGACTCATCTAAGGAGTCATCTCTGCCTGATCTTCTAGACACCCAAAAGTCACTGTTGGCCAGAAATTTCCCAACGCGCCTCTGAACGAAGAGGAGAAACAGCCCCAGACCAAGTGGACTTGCCTGCCTCTCACCTGCCGAGTGCTTTAATCAGGAGGCCTGATCCTGCCCCCTGCTTGGCTAGCGTCTCTGGCACTGTGGTTCCTGGGTGCCAGCACTGAAGATATGCCCATACAGCTAAATAAGAGCCCAGAAGCAAACTCCAGCCCTGTGCTACCGCTCTCCTGTGCAGCTTAACTGCTTGCTCGCCCTGTTGGGGAAGGGGTAGCTCCAGCTACACCAAGCCAAGGCATGGGTGTGAATTGGGGGAAAATTCACTCCATGGGCTGTTCCTGCTAGGCAGGAAGGATGAGACTTTCCTCCCCTCCAAAAAGGCGTATGATAATTGGTGTTTCTGAGCCGCAGGAGCATTGCAGGGGACCTAGAGGACACCAAAAGCCAAATATGGATCACCTGCTATAGACAGCAGGAGCCCTGAGTAGAGCGAACATTAGCCAGACCTGCCTAAATTTAGTTATCACAACGTTTGATGGATAAAACCAGCTGTAGGCAGGCCCCCTTTGCAGAATGAAGGGAAGCAGGCACGTGCGGAGGTGAGCTGTATCCCTGCATGAACTAGGGTCCTCCTTTCGTGTCCTCTGCAGCCCTCACATGGCCAGGCCAGTTCCATTTGGCCAAGCTGGTATCGTCCCACTCACAGCACTTAATAGCACGAAGGCTTCTGCCTTCGGTTTTGACAAACCAGCTCCCCTCTTTCCAGTGCCAGCAGTTTTTATGCTTCTATCAGAATAAACGCTGATGAAAATTCAGACCTTATTTATTTTTATATATATATAAATAATAAACAGATGGAAAGGAAATACATGATAAAACCAGTGGAAACTACCCAAGGAAATGCAGGCATTGGAGGATAGGGGTGCTGAGTCCCTCCATGCGGCACCTGCACCCTGCCCCAGTGCATGGAGGGGGCTCCGAATCCCAAACCCCTGAAACCCAAGCCCCCCAAATCCCAGACTGCTCAGGCTGCATGAGCACTTGATTAAAACTGCTGGAAAGGATGTGCCCTTGCAGCCAGGTAAAGCAGCACCTAAACATATATATTGCATTCATCAGCACTGTTCATCTCAGCCTGAGGTTTTTTTTTGGGGGGGGGATTAATTTGGGATTATAATCGGTAAGTAATAATCAAGGGGTGGTCCCAGCTCCACAGCAACACTCCCTGCAGCCTGTGCAAGGGTTGCCACCAATGTCGGGGGATTTTTGAGTCAGATTCCTCCCAGCTAGTGCCCGAAAGCCAGAAATTGCTCCATCCACGAGTGATTCTAGCTCTGCCCAGCAGATGGAGGTGCACCCAACAACATCTCATTGCTCTCCGTATGCACAGCTTCTTTTGCTGCTTTAACGGGAGCTAACTTGAGATTAGAAAACCTAGGACAAAGATCTGCCAGCCTGGGTCGTTGACCACAGTGTTTAGCCATTGGCCAGTTTCTCCTTTGGCTGGCTGAGCTTCGGAAGGGCTAGGCTGTCCCAAAGACGCCCTGCTTCGGGACCGTGGGGAAGCCGATGCACCCCAGGCTGCCGGTGCAGGGCTGTGCGAATACAGCCAAGCAGGGAAATTGTCTTGGTGTGTGCATGGCCTAAGGCGCAAACTGAGGGTGGCAAGTAATGTCCTGGCGTGCCCCAAAGGCCTGCTCCACCTCGGATGCGTCTCCAGCGGCGTCCATGAGCAGACAGGAGAAAGCTGTGATTTCAGATTATCACTGAGCCAAGCTAGCAGCCTAGGGAGGGCTGCGCAAGCGGGTTTGCCCCTGAATTAGCTCTAGGGCAAGTCAGGAGAACGCCAGAGCCGACGCAAGGAAAATATGGGGCCTGGAAAGGTGGGAACACCCCCTCATTGCCTAAGCTGACATGAAACCACTAGTGGAAACAAGGTAAGGCTTGAGCAATCCCTCCCTGGCGTGTCCCTCCGTGTCCTGGGGCCTTCCCACACCAAAGACTCCGCCAGCTGCACCACATCCAGCAGCCTGAGATGGCTCCATGGTCCTGGGACTTAGCTCATCCCTTCTCCTAACCTACTTAGCTTTTCACCTTCGTGGCATGTCGTGACGCTGAGTTGCACCGTTTGCCCACGCTACCCAGGGCAGCGTCACCTTTCGCTTGCCACGAGCTTGCTGCCAGCCAACTTCACGGCGCCTCAACTTTTTGCATGGTGACAAAGAGTGTCTGAGCCCTTGCCAGCAGCATTTCAGACATGGGTGAAACATAGATTTATACAGTGCCAGGTTGTTATTTTCTGCCTTGCTTTGAACTCCTCTAGCAGCACTTGCTGCTATTCTCTTCGCCTCTTGGCCACTACCGCTGGGGACTGATGTTCTCCAGACCTCCCCAAATAGCTCGAACTTCCTTTCCCAAGCAGCGACGTCCAGTCTGGGAGCCACGATCGGGGCAGGGGAATGTTTTCCCATCTCCTTCTTTCCACTGCTGACACTGGATTTCCTGTTTTTCTGTCTCCTGTGAGCACCTGTTTCCCCCACTGCCATGCTCCTCTGTCAGCTTTTGACCCAAGTGCTCTGAGCTGCTCCATGCCGTCGGCACGTGATGTCCCCATGTTACGTGTGCCCTTGGCCCCATCGTTCCCGCAGGTGCTGAGCAGCACAGCTCCGTGACACCAGCGCTGCCAAAAGCGATCGTTTATTCCTGTCCTTTGCAGTCGCTCTTTTACGATTCATTTACTGGGGGCTGGCGATCCGTTCCTCGGCCTTTGCTGCTGTCCCATCAGAGCTTCCAGCTTCTCCGATCTCCCTCAGTGTTTTGTGGCTCCTTTCAAGGTCCAGACCTGCGCTCCCTAGGGATTGCGTGATTCTTGCCAAAAACCTATTTACTTTGCTTGGGTTTACAGCAGCTATTATTGAAAGCAGGGTTTCCTTGTTGGCGTGACTGGCTCTGCTGCCTCCACAAGTCCTTTTACCCTGGTGCTAACGTGTCCTGCAGGGTCACATCCTTCAGGCACGTTTTCAGGCTGCCGGCTGGCAGCTTTCTCACATCCTTCCCCAAGAGCCCCATGCCTTCCAGCTCATCCATTTTTGGTTTTGGACTGGGGACACTTGTGCATTTGGCTCTCTGATCATCGGGGGGGATCTCACGGCTGAGGCTGGTCCTGCTTAACTTCAGCTATGCATCTCAGCAACTTCCAGTCTGGCCCTTCTTTCCTAGAAACTGAACTGAGCCCAACAACGTGCTCATCCACGCTGCACGTGCCCGTGCCATCAGCTCCCCTCCTCTCCTCCTTCTAAAGCTCTTTACTGACTTCTTAAATTTCTTTATCTTAAGTGACAACGACTCAGTTCTATTTAGATTTATTCTTCCTGTGTGGAAGTCTCCCGATTAACGCAGACTTTTCCGTTTTGCATCATTTTCTCCTCTCTGTCTGTTTATTCTCCCTGTAAGGTATCTCTCCCTTTCCTCCTGGCTCAGCAACGCACCTCAAATGGGAACTAGATTCATCAAATGTGAGAGGGAACGAGCAACGCCTATGTCTGCTGGAAACAGAAAAGCTGCTTTCAGCTTCTGGTCAAACAGGACCCCAGGAGACACAGCGAGGCCTTGGCAGCCGCTGTCCCTTGTCCCACGCGTCGCCCACAAATGCTCCTGGCTGGAGTGCTTGGACACATACTCCACATACTCCATACTGGGAGTATGGGGGCGGGGGGGTGAGCGGTAAAATCAGCCCACCTGGAGGAGTTGGGAAATAAAATCACCATCCACGAGGTCTCGCACTGGGTTTCGTCACACTGTTTTTCTGAATTGGGAAAATGCCAGCGGCGCGAAAAAAAAAAAAAAGAAGCCATTTAAAGTTTGCACGAGCTGCAGGGTGGGTTGCTGCCACCAGAGCAGCTCTGGGCACAGCTGTCACAGCTGGATTCTTTCAGTGTTTCCTGCACTGCTTTGTAATGAAGAGATGCAAGGAATAGAGAAAAAGTGCTTACTAAAGTGACTGCTGTTTTCTTGTGCCAAGAAGCCAAAAGGCAGCAACTCGAAGAATCTTTCCCTTTAATGCAGGCAGAAAGCACGTTACTTAAAAACAAGAGCAGAAGAGAAGAAACTCAGCTGACGCCCGGTGCAGGCAGGGGAGGAGGCTTCTCTGTTTGCAGCCGTGACTCGGTCAGGCTTAAGCAATATCCAAGGAAGGCAAGGAAAGGACAACAGGAGTATTACCCCGCAGTACCTAACTGCTCCTTCCCTACAGCATAAATAAAGCTGTGACAGCCACAGCCTCCTCTCACGTTTCCTGCGAGCGCACTGGAGCCGGCCGCATCCCCCAGCGCCTCTGTGTCCGGGACTGTCACCTCCCACCACCTCTGCTCCAGCCTCCTCTGCCACCACTCCTGGCTCTGTCCCTCACTTCTGTTTTGATTCGGCTGACTTCGGGAAATTCCCGAAAGCACCTGGGACGGTGGTGCAAGAGCAGGTGGTGGCATTTGCTTCCGGCGGGGGGGGGGGGACAAGTGCCGACCCCCACGAAGGAGGTTCATGAAAAAGAAAATGGACTCCAAAATGGACTCTAAAATCTCGACTTTCAGTTCCTCTGGGCTCTCAGGGGGATGGTAGGAGGAGGTGAGGAACCTGCAACTTCCAAGTAACGTTGCTTCTCCTGATTTCCTGGAAAAAACCCACAGATTTCTACGCCTGTCGAAAGGCTGTGCCGGGAGAGGGAGGGTCACAGACCCACGGGAAAAATCCACCAGAGAAAGCCCAGTGGGGCAGAGTAGCGAGAAATGTGTTTCCAGCTCTACTTTGCATCCCCCTCCCTTGGAAATGACGCTGGATGTGCGTCCTCCTCCACGTGGACGAGGAGGACCAGGATGGATATGATTCTGCAGCAAAGCCAGGAAATGAAAAACAACACCAGGGCGGTCACATTGACCTCATGCTTCCTGCCCATATTCTTACATAAGTAAAAGAGGCTCCTAAAAGCCTGATTCAGTCATTCGACATCCTATCGTTCATCTGACAAAATGAGAACAGGCAACAGTGGAGAAGAAGCTGTCGTAAGTGCGTTTTCTTTTTCATTCTTGTAGCAAGCTTGCGTGCGAGCCTGGAGAGCTTTCCTTCTCCTCTTGAAGGCCAGCCAGTTTATAAGCCTCACCACTCCAGTGGGCTTCAGATGAATTTCTGAATGTGAGCGCCCGTAGCGTTCATCTTCAGCGTAAGTCGAACAGACAGCAGCACTCGGGGCAGCTGGAGCCACCAGCGTTTCCAGATGTGTCAGAGCAGAGACCCAGAAATAGCAGGTGTGGGACTGGCTTGTCCTTGTGTGAGTGGAGCTGGGGTGGGGAAGGTGTTTCAGAGTATCGCTGCATTTAGCCACAGAGTTCTCAAGCAACTCTGCTTGCACGTTTGCTCACTAAAGCATACAGTTGATACTATATATACCTAATGCTGGATTTTCTTCAAAATGTAAAACAGGAAAAAAAAATTTATTTTTCCCAGAAAAGTATTTTCCTGAGCTCTCAAATTACCGATCTCTGCGCTGCACAGCTGCTGTGGCTAAATCACCCTGCAGGGCTTGCCAAGGGACAGTGATAAAGTGAGAAAACGTTTGGTTTCAGCTCAAAATCAAACTTTTCCTTCTCTTCAGCTGCACAAAACTGCGTGGGACAATTATTTAAGCCAGCTCAGCCGTGGGGACGCAGCAGGTATTTCTACAGCTTCCCCCCACTGCTCTGCATCTGCAGCGCTGCCCAGCAGCCCACGCCAGTGCCTTGGGTGCTTCGCTTCACCTGCCTGGGACTGACAGCACCGGGCAGAGGGGGAAAGGGATCGTGGGGGTGCTGCTCACCCATTTATCCCCAAACATTTGCATCTGAAAAGGAGACCCTGCTATAGCCTAACCCTTGGCTGGTTTGCAGGAATCTTGACCCATGAGGGTGCTATTGCGCCTAGCTGTGGAGCAAGCGAGGACCTCTCCACCGCTGGTGCAGACACTGGTTTCTCTGCAGCCAAGAGAGGGGTACTGGCTTTATGCTCAGAAGTGCCTGCATGCAGCTGTGAGATAGATGTGGTGGGTGGTGCAAGAGCCGGGCTTCCAGGCACGCTTTGCTTTTCAGGATGTCCAACGCCTGGCATTGGTATGCCCATGCACAACCACTCCGACGGGTTTCTGTCACCTCTTTACCAGCTGGTAGAGGTTTGTGGGGAGGGAGCTGCAAGGTGCAGAGCCGCCTTGGGGTACGTCCTTCCTTAGGACGCACAGCACAACCTGTCTCAGGACCATCAGCTTCATGTTCACGTTCCTTTTGCAACGTGAGAGTAAGGCTTTAGCTCTCCTCAAAGCTGCACAGGGAGGTGCAACAAGGCAGAGGAGCAGGAAGCAGCCCTGGTCTCGCACCAGCCTGGGTCATGTCCAAGCTCTGAGGAGGCAGCACAGGCCGGTGGGGGTGGCTGCAGTCCCTGCAGAGGGGCTGTGGGTCTGCTGGGCAAGAAGAACAGAGGGTGGCAAGGAGAGCAAGGCAAGGCTTCCCAAGCTATACAACATGCCTCTGGTTGGGATTACCAGCAAAACGAGTCCTGGAGGGAAAGGTGGGCAGGTCTCGCCATGGCTGAAAACCCATATATTATAAAGGTGGGGGAGAAATCTGGACTGTTTTTAAGTTTAGGATGGCTAGTGTCCCCTCTCCCCATGACAGCCCTAGTTTGCTGCCAGACCCTGGCAATTATTCCTGATCTTTAAAACTCACACTAATCTTCATGGTACCAATGTGAACAAAGTCTTTGTGAGGTGGCTCTGGCAGAGCCCATCTCCCATCATGGGAGATTTATGACTAGGGCTCTTCAGCGATGGCAGTTGCCTAGTTTAGGTCACTTTCAGAAGCTCTGAACCCACAACTCTTATCTCAGGCTCAACCACCTAACTCTAAGAAAATGATTCCAGCTGAATCTTTCTAACCTCTGTCTCTAATCTTGACTCAGGAGGTTGTTTCTGGTGCCTAAATGGCCTTACCACTAGTATTTTCCACTTACCAGTATCTTTTGCAAGAATCCATGGACTTTTGACCTGGTGAAGACTGCCCTAGAGATCGTGGAGGGCTGCTGTTCCACTGGGAGCAGTTAGTTAGTATTTTGTCTCTGGGAGCAGGGCCACGGACATAAAGATGCTGGTGGCAGGTTCTGCTTCACCAAGGAGTGAAATGGAGCTTTTTCAGTAGCGGCTCTGGTGAATCTAAAACAGCTCACAGCAGGGTGTGGTGGTGGATTTGTTATAATTCAGGGCAGAAGACTTCTCAAAAGCTTGCTATGGTGAAAGTAGGAAGTAGTGGTTTGATGAAGAAATTAAGGTTCAGTCGGATGAAACCATGACAATTTACTTTCCAGTTTTAATATAAGGAACGCAGAACACCCACATCTTTTTGTGATTGTTTACTTGGAAACCAGAGCCTTTTGCAATATGAGTAAATTCAAAAAAAATCTCCAGCTCTGCAGACACAGCTGATGACTAGAAATTTCAAGCCTGCCCATGATTTTGAGTTTTCTGATGAAAGTAGCTTGCATCCACTGGAGGGTCAGCTATCATGTAGTAATTTATTATTCCCACACTAACTCTCTGTACATCTGAGCCTCGAAAGAACATACTATATACCACTTTTGCCTGCGGCCTGATGATTATAGCACTCACTCAAGAGACCAGGCTCAGGTCTCAAATGCTTTTCAAGCAGAGCATGTAAAGCAGGAGACTTTCCCACAAAGTCTACCTGGGCTTAGTCTAGAGAGATCTCTTTCTTCAGGGCCATTGAACACTAAACCTCCTGTTCCGAGACTGGGCAGCAGTGATTTTTTTTTTTTTTTTAATGTAGACAGCTATCCCTAGGCCATAGACAAAGCCCAAGGAGTGCAGGACCTCAAAGTTATCAGAGGGTGACAGAGTTTAATGACTGTCAAGCTCAAAGTGGTGTATACCTATCAACTAGAGGAAAAGCCCTCATGATGAATACTTGACATATCATGCTTACTTTTCACATATTGATTGGAATGTCATTTCAAAATGTTTCAGTGATCCCTTTTGCTTGCCTTTTGTTCCCAGGCAGCCACTTGTCAAATGTGACTTCAAACGTGGCAACAACACCCATTGCAACCTTGCTGAATACCAGAGGTGATCCTGCCAATTCGAGTGACTACTCTTACGAGTACTTGGATGAGGCAGATTACAAGCTGTATGGCCTCTGCACGAAGGAAGCAGTACTCTCATTTAGCAGAGTATTCTTACCAGCATTTTATAGTGTGGTTTTCCTGGTTGGTTTGACTGGGAATGTTCTCCTGTTTATCGTTCTGATTATGTACATCAGGAAGGAAAAGAAGATGACTGAGGTGTATCTGCTGAACTTGGTGGTTTCAGACTTTCTTCTCCTAATAACCCTTCCTTTCTGGGCCCTGTACATTTCTCAGTGGGTGACCTGGGACCTGTTCTGCCCACTCTTAAATGCCATGTACGCTGTGAATTTCTACAGTGGTGTCTTCTTTGTGAGCTGCATGAGCCTGGACATGTATCTGCAGATAGTCCATGCTTGCTCTCCTCGCAACTCAGTGACGTGGAGGAAGTCCTTCTTTATCTTGTCAGTGGTTTGGATCCTTTCCATACTTCTCTCTATACCTGATGGCATCTTCACAAACATCAAGCAAATCCACAACAAAACTGTCATGTGCACTCATGATTACGGTCAGAAACACTTATTTTGGAAAGTTGTTTTTCAGGTCATTCAAAACATCCTGGGCTTCCTTGTTCCATTCCTCTTCATGGTGTTCTGCTATTCCCGCATAGCGTGTGTCCTCACCACTTCTCCCATCCCTGGATCAAGGAGAGCACTCTGCTTAGTCTTTGCTCTGGTGGGTGTTTTCTTTCTTCTGTGGTCCCCTTACAATGTTGTCCTCATCCTTCACTCCCTGCAGGATGTTGGTGTGATCAGGAACTGTGAAAGCAGTAGGCAATTGGACTATGCCATGCAGATCACAGAGAGTTTGTCCTTTGTTCATTGCTGTCTCAACCCCTTGCTCTATGCTTTTGTGAAGAAACGATTTCGGTTGTATTTATGCAAGATCCCTAGGGCCATTATGAAAAGAAGTGGTTTCCTTGACATGCAGCTTTCAGAAACAAGTCAGTCTTATGCTGACAGATATGCTGCTCAGATAGAAATGTTCACTATCACAAATGCATGATACGGGTTTGCATTACGCTGAAAGAAATGCATGAACATGTATGTCCTCTATATGATGTATTCTACTCGTCCTGGCCATGTCGTGGAGTTGGTGTGAGCTCACAGCACTGGGTAACCAGAAATCTCATCTTAGAGCTAGCATCAAGATGAGCATTGTCCTGCATTTATGGTCATGGAAGAAGCCCATTTTCTGTTGGGGGTATGTAAAAGGTGAGGCATTAGTGAATGAAGGAGTATTTTATGTAGATCATGTGCACTGGAACCTTGTGCAGAGCCTCTTACTAGTAGATCTCAAAGTAACTGATCAAGGAGAGCAATTTCATGATCCTCGCTGCACAGCCAGGGGAAGGATTTCCTGGTGGCCATCCAACAGGCCGGACATAGGTGGCCAGAAGCCCAGTCTAGGGGGTTTTCCTCTGGCTTTTGACATCTGCCGGGTAGATGTGTTCAACCGAGCTGATCCCTTTGTCTACCAATAGACACCTTGGGAGGAATTAGGCACTTTTAAGCTCTGAGTCATCTGACCAATTATGGGTTTCTCCATTAGGATGAGCTGTGCCACGCTCAAATCTATTCAGCAGG